TAAAATAGTTCTGGAATTTTTTTTCCCCTCAAAGTCCTTGAAATTGTTTTGGCAAGCTTTTTCTTCAATGGCATGTTTTGGAAAGAACATCCTGAAGTGTGGTATTTATCTTCTTTAGTATTAAGTTCATGGAAATCCTACACCAAATCCTTTAATTAATTTTCTTATATAGGTATTCTTCATCAAGACTTTCCTTGTCTGTCATATTTATAAGCTTTTCTTTTGTGCAGTTGTTCGAATTACCAGAATACTGACTGTCTTCATTGGGTTGTTAACTGCATTTCCATGAGGTTCTACTCAGCTGCTTGGTTACATGCAAATTAAGTAACATATCAATATACATACTCATTTACATATCAGTTAACTGTAAATGTGGAATCATTTTGTAATTGAAAATTCTTGCCTGTTTAGATATTGAAACACATGGGTAGATTCCTACTGACATTTTTAAACCCACCAGTTAACTGGTTGATTTCAGTGGGAATTAAGACTCCATATGACTTTGGTTTGTTGGGAATTATGTAAGGCAACTCTGTGTCTTTACCATTTCTGAAAACGTAGTCCTGGGATGAGCTTCAGACATGTTCATTAAAGCATTTAAAGAATTCAATTCTGGTTGCAAGTTAGTAATTTAATTTAGAAAACTGTGGAATAAGGGATGCTTATACAGTCAGTTTTGCTTTTTATGAGGATGTTAGCATGGAATTCACTGGATCCTATGGAAAAATGTAAAGTATGTCAGAATATGATGTAAGATGTTACAGATACAGAATTATGGTTGCATCGACATCTCCAAACTTCTTATCAAATCTTGACTTAATTTAGAGTAATATGTAATATTGATAATTTCTATGCAGCTCTTTATTTTTTGAAAGAAAGTTTGCAGAAACAAATTACTGTAGAGTTTTGAAATAGTTCTCTGTATCTGTCCTGAGAGTTCCAGTGTCTGACCTTTAACCTGTGAAAAACTGCTCAACACTTTAGTAGGTTATAAGTGGTAAGTGGGGGAACAAAGAAAAATCTAGTCATTGTCCCCTCTCCCCTTTGAAGGAATTTGCTGGTGATATATGCCTGCTGTCTTAAGGGAGAAACTAATAAGAAAAGTGGGGAGTTATATTTGGACTCTGCTTTCTGTGTTCTCTCTACTTGGGGATCATGTTTGCTGAATTTCAAGGTCAGGTGCCTTGGTTTTACCTACTCAAGAGTTGCAGAACAAGTGCTACACATGTGTTCTAGGCATATGTCCTTTGTCAGTCTGGTAACATCAGCTTCACCTTACAATAGTTTTGTGTTATTATTGTAAGCACAATACAAACCTGCAAACATGCTCCTGACAAATGCAGATAAAAGTATGAAACAACAGGATATTTTTTTTACAGTTGCTGTCTGCATAAAAGACAAATATGTATGTCCAGAGAATTTATCAGTGTAAGGATATTTGTCCCACTAAAATAGCATAAGTCTCTCACCACTCTAAACTTCTCTCTTCCTCCATCCCTGCTCCCTTGCCCTACCTCCTCTCCAATCTTCATTCCCCTCCATCCTCTCACAAATAAACACCTCAGGGAAAAGCTGTGCCTTGCAAAAGATGGGCAGCTAGTAGGAAGCTCTCAATAATAAAGATGTGAAAATGTGCTATTATTTACATTTTCTCTCGGATCTCTGCCTAGAATGGGATGACAACAGACACTGTGATAAAACAAAGGCAAACTTTTTGCAAGTGAAACAACCTATATTTTGCTTTTCAAAGGGCTGTTTGGAAAGCTCTTAAAAATAGTGTAATCAGTGTCATTTTATCTAGAAAGAGGTGAATCTAGGGTATTGTGTTTATTTTGACAATTCTACCTTGATTTAAATTATTAATTGTTGTTCAGTTGACACTGCTTGCAAAGATGGTATTTTTAGATCACCTGCAGGCTATGCTTTTTTAAATGTCACCAAAATGGTATAGTTTTTGCAAATGTTCCATCTCACTATCTATTCATATTTAACCTTATTTCTATGCTGTATTAATATAGTTCATACCTTTGGGAGGCAGCAGGTTATTGGGAAGTATGTTTAACATTTAGGAGGAAGGAGGGAGTGGGATCCAAGAGTGTTTTGAAATTTATATATGAGAATGCTCTTTTCTTAGTATCATTTCTTCCTCTGCCTCACTTGTAAATTATTTTTTTATTTATTTTCAGTATTTATATTTACTGTACCAATGCAGTATTAGGACACTGAAATAGAAGATAAGTCAGAGTGAAAATAATGTTCACTCTACCTATGCAAGTAGTATTGTTGAGTTTACTGATTTATTCACCTAGAATGACAAATGGGATGTTGTCTGTATATTCTATCCTCTATATGATTAAATTAGTGCTGCACTGGATGTGCATAAGATAAAGCATTCAATGGAATCTTACTCTGTTTTATGGTATTTTGCGTACACACGGTATGTTTATCCTGCGTTGGTACTAAAATGTGGGCTAAGCTAGGTTTGTCACATTTTTTTATGTTATTGAGATAGAGAGTCTAGTTAATGCTTCAAGTATGCAGTCTTGAAGCTAGAGGCCACTATTGACTTCATGTTGTCTAAAGAAAGATTTTAATATATTGTTAATCTTTTGCTGAATTTGGAAGGCATTGATGCCTTGAGTGGATACATGCCATTTATTGACTACTTGTGTACTGAGAAATGTAATTGGAGATTAGCATTCTGGAAAAAAGGACATGTAAATTCCAGCAACAGGTCACGGTAGCGTAATAGGCAGGTGATTGTTTCTGCCAGTGATAGAAGCTTCAGAGAAAAAGGGATGAGAAGCTTAGGATGAGCTCTAAAGAAATTTTCCTGTAAGTACAGCTGTATCCTGTTTGTCTTTTGGAATCTGGTCATGCCTTCAGGCAAAAATGTTAGTTTACTATTGCAGCATTACAGAAGAATCTCTTCTCTTGCTGGTAACCTTTGATATTCTTGTGATTCATGCAGATGTCCTATTTTCTACTTTGGAACTAAAATAACATATCCCCTATTTTAGTAAGGAAGATGGTAAGCTAGGTGTGATTATCTCAAATGGAAGCATTTCTTCCTCTAACACTTGTTGCCCTTAAATTTCATGTTATATCTACAAATAAAAGTAGAGAGAAGTTCCCAGTCTGCCATATTAGTTTTGTATATTGCTGTCACGTTTCCTCTTGCCAGTGCTTTGTGTGGAGTCCCAGGTTACGCAGAAGTTTTTATAGGCCTCTGAGTACCTCTTTCTCTGAACACACATTTCAGCTCTGTCCTTTTTTAGGTAGGGGACCAGAACTGAATACATATTTTTCAGGGGAGGGCAAACCATTTATTAATGTCACGACATTTTATTTCTGGTTTTATTTTCATCTCATTCTTCGTGCATCCTCATACTTGTTTCCTTTTTGACCTCTGTTGTAAGCCAGCTGATGTGTGGGAGGGAAGATGGCTCTTGTGTGTGTAAATGAAGCCCTTAGCAATTAGGCATGTACACTTCTGTGCTGAGGCAGGGGAGGTGCAAGGTAGGTGACATGAGCCACAGGGCAACCATTTGAAAGCAAGATTTACCTGGAATTTGGTTCAGAGATTTCTGGTACTGATAGTTTGTTGGAAATGGTTAATCCTGCCAAAAAGGAATTGAGGAAAGAAATATATTTTTAAGAAAATAAAAAATCGAAGCCACCCAAACTATTGATATCAGCCCGGCTTTTTTCTTCACTTTTCCTCCCTTATGAACTAGTGGTAATAGAAATAAAAGACTATAATTTGCCGTATTGGTGTAGCGATGTGTTGTGTACCGCAAAGTAAGACAAGCTGAAGTAAAACTTTGTGCACTGTGTTCTTTGTTACTTCAAGATGAGTATGTTTGTCATGCTGTAGTTATGATTTTTTTTCTCCCTCATTTCTTTTTGTTCACCTGATATCTGAATTTTCATGAACTTTCTCTTAATAGGCAGAGAGATCAAGAAAGAAAAGAAGCAGAAGAAGCTAGTCAGAAAGAAATAGAAGAATGGGAAAAGTCACTGTTAGCTCAAGCAGCACCTACAAGGATGGAGACAATGTGGGAGATTCCAGCCATTGGTCATTTTCTTTGTTTAGCACAACAGATTTTAAATTTGCCTGAAATAGTATTCTATGAATTGGAACGTTGTCTTCTGATGCCTCAGTGTAATGTTTTTTTATCTAAAATAATGACTTCTTTGTTAAGTCCTCCTCATCGCAGAGCTACGTTACATCGGAGGCCTACACTTTCTTACAGGACTTGGGAAGCAGCACTCAGACAGAAAGTACAACACTGGTACAACGTTGTAGGGCAGACCGACAATCCTAATAGCGCTGCAGCAAAACTTGGATTGTGTCCCCAGTTTTTCAGAGTGCTTGGAGAAGTTAATCCCTTGCAAGAAAAACCATTTCATGAGCTACCGTTCTACCAGAAAGTGTGGCTGCTAAAAGGTCTGTGTGACTTCGTGTATGAAACACAAAAGGATGTTCAGGATGCCGTGCTAGGTCAGCCTATCCATGAATGCAGAGAAGTAATTCTTGGTTATGATTTCTTGGAGAATGCATATGTGCATTTCCCACAGTTCTGTGGTGCAGATGTTCGCATTTACAAACAAAAACCTTTTCAGGCTCCTGAATTCCCATCTCTTCCCATCAAAGTTAAAAGAGTGTCACGTATTAAATTGGAAAGAGTAAAACATGAATATGTAAGGAAAAGCAATGGAGAGGTCAGTTCTGCTGGTAGAGAACTGCAATATAATTCCAAGACAGAAGCTGAGAAGAGTGTAGACTCCATTGTTACCTGTCCAAAGGAAAAACCATGTTTGTGTAGCCTCAGAGTCCCTGCAGAGGAGGTGAAGATTAACTGTGAAACCAACGGCTCAGGAGTCTGTAACATCAAAAACACTGGTTGCCATAAAGAGAGCTTGGGGCATTTTATTACTTCAGGAGAGATTGTTGGTATGGGTGGTCACTCTAGTTCAGGAGAAATAATGGCTGTGGAGAATGGGAAAGGTTGTGCTGAAGTGGCCAGAGTAACATCTGAGATAAGTCCATTCCAGGAGAACACACTGAAAGCTTGCCACGTGCATGTCAATGGCACTTGCAGTGTCAACCAAGACACAAATTACTGTGAGTCTGCTAAAGAAACAATGCTAAAGTCACTGCAAAATAAGAAACTAAATAAGATACGGGCAAAAAAGAAGAAGAAAAAAAAGAAGTTGAAGGATATTCTTAATGAAAATCTACAGAGAAAACTTGATGACCTGCAAAGGAAACGTGAGATTCATCTTCATCCATTCAAATCTTACAAATCTGAGATCCAGAACAAGTTGTTCATAATTAAAAAGAAAGCTAAACACAAGAAGCACAAGTCTGGTAAGCAGACATTTTTATCTGCAGTACAAATTAGGAGGATACTGGTTTATTTTTTTGAAGTTGTTTACTTAGTTGATTACATTTTATTTTGTGAAACAGCACAGCCTTACTGCATTAGACTTTTCAGATATTAGTTTTAGAGTGAAAGTTCCCATTTGACAACACAAACATATAAAACAGAGTCATCAGCTGATTAAACCATGGTTCATTTGCAGGATGTTATCTTTAGAGAACATAATTAATTGGAAGAGTTCATTTGTTGCAAAAAATACTTAGGAGAATATTAGCATCAGTGTCACTGGAGGTCATTTTATGTTGTCTTATGTGGCAGTGTTTCTTCCCTTTTGGATATTACTACCTTATCCAACTTATGAAGAAACACAGCATAATCACATGCAATCATTAATCTAAAATCATTGCTACTGGAACTGCACAGTCTTAGGTCACCAAACAGTACTGCATGGACGGTGAGTATGATTACACATCTCCCGAGTGCAACAGTTGAGATACAGAATTTATGCTGATGCCATTTTTATTACAGATTTTTACAGCATCTAGTTACATGTTTCAGGTAGGTAATACACAATCCATATTTCTGTTAACTCTCTGGAAAATTTTAAAACAATTTGAAAGCAGTAAAATTATGGAGTCCTTAAGTCAGTTCAAGTTGTCACGTAGCTGTAGTATTTTTGTTGTCACATGAAACACCCTAAAAGCTTCATCCTGTTGAGTCTTGGGCTAAGCTGTTAGTGCTAGATTTTAGCAGACTGCTTCAAACATTTTTTGAAGCAACAGGCTGCTTTTCAGAGCAGTGTAGACTGACACTGCACTGAAATGCTGAAAATACTGGATTCCATCTGAAAAGCAGAAAGCCAAAACCAAAATTGAGTGTAACAATGCATTGTCTTCGAAAGGGTAAGATAATTCCAAGATCTGATGCCAATGTATTTTAGCTGGAAGTTGAAGTTTAAAGCTAAGAAAACTAGTAAAGTTTAGATCCCAAATGTTTGTGCATAATATCCAAAGAATTGTCTTTATCATTTCAATGGTCACCATCTTAATTGTCACCCTCATTTTACAACACATGCTTAAAAACCTACTTTGTTTGAATTAAGTAATGCTCATAGAATGGTATGCATAATTTTTTAATACATTATTGCTTTGAAATATAACCGCTGTCAGAAAAACAGGCTGACGATATTTGGAAGTAGCTTTTGAACTAATTGATAGAGATGATGTTTACTGCAATAACTAGTTTTCTTACATGTGTCATAAAAATAACAGACTCCAACTACTTGATCTGCTGGATCTGATAGTCTGTCTTATGCTCAGACAGTGTGTTTGTTTCCATTCAGGTGTCAGGCATAAAATGTTTTATTTCATCTGCAGGTGACAGGCATTGTCCTGAGCATGATGTGAAGGGTCCTATTTCATTTGGTGCTCACTTGTCCTTGATCTCTTAGTATGTTGAGGCATTTGCCATCTTATTCTGACTACCTACCTCTTCATTGCAAATTTTGACCTTGCTGGAGAAAATTTTCCTAAAACTTTACATCATTGCAAGAAAAAACTTTTCTTCCTATGATTGTTAAATGTTCGTTGGTCCTGTATACTGAAATGGATAGGATTCCAGTCATGATAATGCCTTGTTGTTTTATAATGTCTCACAATGTTTAAGACTAAGTAATATTTCTCAAAGACCTGAGAAGAGGTGTGAAATTTAAATCTTCTGTTTAAAGATTCCATTACAATGCAGAACAGAGAAAGAGATTCAGTAAAACTTGTTCTGAATTCACGAAGACACTGGATTTAAACCTGATCCTAGTCATAATGACTCTTCACAATGTTCTGTTAAAGTACAGTAGGTGGAAGAGAGCATTAGCCATGTAAAAGTGAGTACCTTTCCTTTTTAACAAGAAAACTGGGTTTTTTCCCCCACTATTGGTTCTCTAAGGAAGCTAAATGTACGTTTGAGTCACAGTTCATGTTTCTATTGAGGTGATTTTCACAGTTCCTGAATTGCTGTAGTACTGATACCCATCATCAATATAGACTGGTTGTGCAGGGTTTTTAGCTGAAAACTTCCCAGAACGATTGCTAGCAAAACTTCTGGAGAACACAGCCATGTTACGAGCTGTGCCTCAAGGTAGTAGGCCTAACAACAGCTTTTATGTATGTGCAGCTGCTGAAGGAGAAGGCATCTTCAGCTGTTCCAGGATCATGATTTTCTTTGGATTTCTTGGTTAGTTTGGGAAACTCTTGATTTGTTTTGATGAAGAGTGTTTTTTTCATTTCATTTTTACCTGGTTAGGGAGAAGTGTAACAAAATAGATTGGACAAAAGCAAACTGATTTATCTTCCTTCTGTGCAGTGCAGTCTTGAGTTATTGATTCCTAGGTGTTTGTTACTAGTCTGTGTGTATTGTGCAAGGTAGATTTTTTTGAAGAGTCACAGACCTTAGAAATGCTGGTTGGAAGGAACATCTGGAGGTCACCTACTCTGATTTGTTGCTTGGAGCAGGACTGACATTAATACCAGAGCAGCTCAGGTGTAACTTGAAGACCTCTAAAGATGGAAATCTATTCATTGTACCACTGCTCCCTCTTCCCCTCTGAAAACTTTTATGCTGAAATTACTTTATTGTTTAGTCTATGTGTAGAACTTTCGTTAAGTGCTTTATAAATTATGGCTAGTGAAAGCTGGGAACTGAAAGGTGAGAGAGAAGCAGACTGTTGGATTGAATAGGTGAGTTGAAGAGATTAGGCATATGAGATTCCTTATTAGAACTTTTGATAGTTTTCTTCATTATTTCTTTGTTTTGTCTAAGTTTTTCTAACTCTGATTGCTTCTACACAGCAATTAAATGTATTTATACATTGAGAATGCTCTGAAAGGTACAGTGCACTGTCGTTCAAAATGCATTGTAATCTAGTTCCTGCCAGAAATATTACTTCAACTGCTAAAGAATTAATATAAGCCATTTTACATAATCTCTTTACCTAGGATTGCGGGTGAAGGCTCTTCAGCAGACCTCAGTGGAGTGATCTGAGATGTTGCACTGACAGCTGATACCTGTTAACACCTTAGTGATTTTGTTGTCCCAAGACAGGGTCAGTAGCTCAATGTGGTGCAGCCAATTATACACAGAGACAAGAAGATATGGTACTTTCTTACAAAGTGGCAAGTGCTGGTGCTGGGTGGTAATCCACAATACCAGCGCGTCTCTGGGTTACTGAGCTAGGTTTTCATACACTTTTTTTATAACACATTCCACCTACCTAATACATATGGACATATGTATTTATTCATTCTCTCCCATTGTGTAAATACCTGTAGTGTTTTCTTAGCTTTTGATATGTGATATTGGAAAATGCCTGCAACGTAGGACATCAGGTGTCAGAAAATGGCAAAAAGACAGGTACATGCTTAGCTTGTGACAGATGACAGTCTGAGAATTGTGTAAGTCTTTTGGGACATGTGTGTATATAGGTGTGCTTTATGGCAACCCATACGTTATAGTCTATTCTGAGACTTTTTCCTTGATTTACTTTACACACAAGGTAAGGCTCATTCTCCTCATGCTTCCAGACACTCTTTTAATTCTTGGTCTGTCTGTTACCCTGTATCTTTCCTAATTTGTACTTTTCAGATGCTGATGCAAAGGAAGAAATGTTTATTTTATTTGTTTTTAAATTAGTTTTAATTATTTCTAGCAATTTTCCCTGTCTTTTTCATAAGCACATATTGGGGAAAGGAGGGAATATTTCTGTGAACTCTGTTATTTTTTGAAGTACACTGCATCATACATCATATAGCACCAGACACTGAAAAT